TTCCGCACCTACTCTCACACTCCCTCTTCCTCACCTAATCTCGCACACACTTTTCCTCACCTACTCTCACACTCCCTCTTCCTCACCTACTCTCACACTCCCTCTTCCGCACCTACTCTCACACTCCCTCTTCCTCACCTACTCTCACACTCCCTCTTCCTCACCTACTCTCACACTCCCTCTTCCTCACCTACTCTCACACTCCCTCTTCCGCACCTACTCTCACACTCCCTCTTCCTCACCTACTCTCGCACACACTTTTCCTCACCTACTCTCACACTCCCTCTTCCTCATCTAATCTCACACTCCCTCTTCCTCATCTAATCTCACACACACTTTTCCTCACCTACTCTCACACTCCCTCTTCCTCACCTACTCTCACACTTCCTCTTCCTCATCTATTCACACACTTCCTCTTCCTCATCTATTCACACTCCCTCTTCCTCACCTACTCTCACACTCCCTCTTCCTCACCTACTCTCACACTCCCTCTTCCGCACCTACTCTCACACTCCCTCTTCCTCACCTACTCTCGCACTCCCTCTTCCTCACCTACTCTCGCACTCCCTCTTCCTCACCTACTCTCGCACACACTTTTCCTCACCTACTCTCACACTCCCTCTTCCTCACCTACTCTCACACTCCCTCTTCCGCACCTACTCTCACACTCCCTCTTCCTCACCTACTCTCACACTCCCTCTTCCTCACCTACTTTCACACTCCCTCTTCCTCACCTACTCTCACACTCCCTCTTCCTCACCTACTCTCACACTCCCTCTTCCTCACCTACTCTCACACTCCCTCTTCCTCATCTAATCTCACACACTTTTCTTCACCTACTCTCACACTCCCTCTTCCTCACCTACTCTCACACTCCCTCTTCCTCACCTACTCTCACACTCCCTCTTCCTCACCTACTCTCACACTCCCTCTTCCTCATCTAATTTCGCACACACTTTTCCTCACCTACTCTCACACTCCCTCTTCCTCACCTACTCTCACACTCCCTCTTCCTCACCTACTCTCACACTCCCTCTTCCTCACCTACTCTCACACTCCCTCTTCCGCACCTACTCTCACACTCCCTCTTCCTCATCTAATTT